CTATTAAGAAGGTAGAGATACAACATCAGTTTTGTGTTGGTATATTAGAAGGTAGAGATACAACACCAGTGTTGTGTTGGTATATTAGAAGGTAGAGATACAACACCAGTGTTGTGTTGGTATATTAATTGGTAGAGATACAACACCAGTTTTGTGTTGGTATATTAATTGGTAGAGATACAACACCAGTCTTCTGTTGATATATTAGTAGGTAGAGATACAACACCAGTCTTGTGTTGATATATTAAAAGGTATAAATACCAAACAATAGTCTTATGTTAGTGTATATAATTAGAAGATATGATATTAAAGGCATGTGTTATAGAAGACAGAGTCAATAGTTAAATTCATGATGTCAGAAAAACACATAGGTTCAAGAAGTGTTTTGATGCAAGATGATTAAACCCTATAATATATTAGGTTATGAGGATTTTATCATCTTGTATCAGTAGTTAAATATCACTCATATCGGAACCTAAGTCTGTTGTTGTCTTTAACCCTATCACTATGGGTTTTCCTATGGTCAGAGAATAGAGGGCATATCAGCACATTTGTAGACTTACATTCAAAATTTTATTGGACTACTATTTTATAAATGCATGTCAAGAAGTTTGGTTTCAAATTGTAGATTATAATTCAAATTTTAGTATTATACTTTAGTTAATTTCTTTATTTAAAAGTAAACATAAAAAATTCCAAAATGTCTATTTTTGTGTGTCACATGGTATGTTGAATGCAGCTTTAGTTCATATTAGATGTTTGTGATGTCCAAATACAAAGTCTGTTGTTTCTTACAAATTAGAAATGGAAATTACTGATATTGACAAGCTAGAATCTAAAATAAGAAACTCCTATCTTTTCTATTTGCTGTAATGTTAGTCAGACACACCTGAAAGGCGAATAAAATATAAATAATAAATATATATATAGGTGTATAATGTTATGAGATTTAAGGTATTTACACTAAACATTTGCGGTTTCGTGTTATAATTTGTAGTCATTCTAGAACTAAAAAGCATAACTTATATCTACTTCCTAATTTTTTATAGTGGTTACAAGGTCGGTCAAATTGACCTAACCCATACAGAGATACAATAGTGAAAATAATAAATAAAATATAAAGTTTTTCCTAAAAGAAAACGTTTGCTAATTATCTGGTGGTTATTAGAAAGTTATAAGGATTTCCCATGTGAAATTTGACAATTTTCTGATGCATAAAAGTATTTTTAATCTTAAAATCAAAATTACTTTGTATGTTGGATAGTCAACATTCGAAAAGAAAAAATGCACAAGCCAATCGTTATTTAAAAAACTCTTAAAACTTAATAAAAAGTCTGATATTTTGTGTATGAAAACCTTGTAATGTTTACTGATATTTATATAAATTTTGTGAAGATACTCTTATTGTATTAAAGGTTATAGTATGAATATTGTAACAAGCACAACGTGGTTATGAGATTAGTCCCTGGGACCGAGCCCATAGTGAGAGAGTTAATAGCAACATGTTTTAACTGTAGATGTTTTTGACCTCACTTGGACAAGTACTGACTGTATTTTTACAATGAAAGTCACTTATTAATTGTTTTATTTCTGATGTGTTAAATGATCTGTACCTTGGAAGAGAATCACAGCTAAACTGACAGTGTTACTCTTTTAAAAGGTGTGACATGCAGGTATACTATGCATTTTTAACTTCTTATATTATTTTATAAGTTTTCAAAGTTCTTGAGTCTGTACAGTTTTCTCATAACACTTGGTCTAGGAAAGTTGAATTTGTTCTATCTACTTTTGGTTTTTGTCATTCCCTTGGTGATAACACCCGGTCTGCCTATGGTGGTTATAATTGTAAAGCTGAATCTTGAAGGTCAACAGTAGTGTTCTTGTTCTCTAGTGATAGGTCAGGTAGTATCTCATGGTTACTACATTTTTTAGTGGGTCTCAGTGGGTTTAACCAAGCATGACACAGGTGGCACACGCATCATGAGAATATAGTATATAATATGATCTCTTAGTTAGCTCTTTCACAGTTTGGTAAGTCAAACTCTTTCTTTTAATAAGTTAAGAGAGTTAACTACAAAGTAAAGGCATGGTCCTTCATGCTGTACATGTTATTTTGATTGTACTTGCAAGTTTAAATAAAGATTGTTTCCTGTTGTTTTTATACATTTTTTACATCCTCTTTTTATCTCAAACTTCATCAGTTTCAGAGAAATTCATTATCACTTCCTAATTTATCCTGCCGATCCTCCTGTTATTAAACATAGCTAACGAATACTCTCTCTGAAAATCGGTTTAACCTGAGAATACCACAGAGTAGGTAGGAAGAAGAAAGTTTGGTGCTGAAGAGTGCACTCTTACTCCTACTCTTGTGTTATCGTGTTCAAAATATCACAAATTTAATCAAATGAAAAGGCTCTAAAAATGGAATAAATATAAAGAAAAATGACTATGAAAACTAGGAAATACGATTTATAAGTAGGAGTTTGATGTTTTCAAGATGTGTAGGACAAGTTTTATAAGCAGAAATTTACTGAAGAGTTTAATGATAATCAAAAAGAAAGAATTTCATAAGGCAAGCACTAACTTCATACTTGGAAAGAAAAGTGAATAAACATTTTAAGTACAATAAAAGAACAGATTGATTATATGATTCATATAATATTAATACACACATCAGTATGTTAACTATTGAATAAACTTTTCTCCAGCTTTTCAACATCTCGGGACATGTTAAGTACCCTACAACAGTTGAAGAAGAGATGTCTCTTCCTCTGAAAGAGTTAATTGAACGACATGCTGGTGGTGTCATTGGTGGCTGGGACAACTTGCTGGCAGTTATACCAGGTGGCTCTTCAACTCCTGTTATCCCTAAAGAGTGAGAAACGTTTTTAGCCATGGTGTTGTTGTTTAGAAAAATAACTACTGTATAATATACATAC